ATTGAAGTGTTACTTCACTTTAGAAGGAATCTGGCAATACCTTTTTAAAAAGAAAAAAATCTTCACTCCAGAATTTCAGCCTTGCAGATTGATCTGTGGAAATAAAAGTTTTAATCAATAAGGAGATTATATATATATAAGGATGTTTATTGTAGCATTGTTTAGAAAAGCAAGACCAAGAAAGTAAATATTGCTCATGGGGAAATAAATCTGTATTGTTGCCATTCTAAATTGTGTCTGTTGCTGTATAACAAATTTCCACAAGTGTAGGAGCCTTAAAAACACACAATTATTATCTTAAGAGGTTTATGGGCCAAGAATCTGGATGCCCCGTAACTGGATTCTCTGAGATGCTATACCCAAGGTATCAACCAGGATTGAGAACCATCTGGAGAATAACTGGGGATAGATTTGCTTCCAAGCTTCCTCGTTTATTGACAGAATTCATCTCCTTGCCATTGTTTAAGCCAGAGATTCCTGTCTTCTTGCTGGCTGTCAGAGCTCTTAGAGGCTAATTCACAATTCTTTGCCACAAGGTCCTCTCCACAATCCCTGTTATAGCATGGCAGCTTACTCCTTCTAAGCCAGAAACCCATACTTGGTCATTCAGTATATACACCACGCGGAACAACATACCTTCACGTGCGCAAATCCTACAACCAATTCAAGAGTCAGTCTCTCCCTGAAATTTTCCTAGCTCAGTATTTGTTTCCTGACAACTTCCTGCCCCGGAAGTAATTTCTTCTTCCACTGAATACCCATCACCCTTCACTTGCATCAGTAAATATTATTTGCTACTTATAACTTCCTATCTAAATAATTTATTTACATGTAAGACCTTCACTATCATCTATAAGGCTGTTGAAATACATTTTATTTCTATGACCTTATAACATCTGGTATAGAGCCTTGGACACAGTAGGTAGGCTATAAATATTGAATGAATGGATAGATGGATGGTTATTTAAAAAGAAAAAAACAATAATATGGGCAGCTTTCTAACTGGAAGTCATGGGACTACATAGCTACACTTGTGGTCTCTAAATACCAATCTCCGGACAGCAGCATTCAAATGACCATGGAAAATTTTTTAACATGC